GTTAGAGCACTCGCCTTGCAAGTGAGAGACCTGAGTTCAATTCCAGGCAGGGCGAAACCTTGGGCAAGTTTCCTTACTCCACACACCTAATAATAATCCCTCCAAAACCAAAAACAATAATAAATTGGTCATATTCAATCTACGACTGTTTGTGGGACATTGCTGTGCGCAATTGGCTGCCGCGTTCGCCCACAAATATACAGTCAATTCACTTTACAGTGTGTTCTGTGAAGCGCTTTGAGACGTCCTCCCGACGTGAAAAGCGCTATATCAAATGCAAGGATGATTATTATTATTATTATTATAGAGTGGTCGACGGTGTCGAAAGCAGCAGACTGGTTAAGGAGGACAAGAAGACAGAGGGAGCCCAGGTTGCAAATGGACAGAATGATATTTGTCACTTTGACCAGTGCGGTTTTTGTGCTGTGGGTGGCATGGAAGCCTGATTGGAGAGGTTCGAGAAGAGAGTGGTGGGAAAGGAAGAAGAGAAGCTGAGAAGCAACAACTCGTTCCAGGACCTTGGAGAGGAAGGGGAGGTTGGAGATGGGGCGGTAATTAGGGAGTAGAGAAGGGTCCAGAGAGGGTTTTTTAAGGATAGGAGTGATGACAGCGGTTTTTAATGCGGTGGGAACAGTACCAGAGGACAGGGAGAGGTTAATGATGTTGGTGAGTAGAGGGGCAAGGAGGTGGAGCTGGAGGAAAGGAGAGGGGTAGGGATGGGGTCGAGGGAGCAGGTGGTGGGTTTCATACGGGTTACGGTGGTGTTGAGAAAGGTGGGAGAGACAAGTTCAAAGGTGTGGAGGGAGGGATGGGTAGGGGTGAGGTGGGAGGAGGAGATGGGGAGGGATAGCAGATGCAGTGGCAGAGGCAGCTGAGCAGATTCCCTCGACTTTGCATCTCCTCGCAGTTGGTATTTGAGATGAGGATGGGCGAGGAGTGAGAGGGAAGGCGGAGGAGCTGGTTCGTGATGGAGAAGAGGAATCTGGGATTGTTCTTAGTCTCCAAGATTGTCTTTGAGTAGAACGATGATGGAGGCGAGAGCGAGAGCGGAGCAGTAGGATTTGACATGGTCCAGCCAGATCGGCCGATGGACAGTTAAGTTTGATATAAGCCAGGTACGCTCAGCAGAACACGCCTGGGCTTTAAGGGAGCGGAGGTGGCTGGTGTACCAAGGTGATTTGCGTGAGTAGAAAATGGTTTGGGAAGAGGGGAGCGAGAGAATCGAGAGTGGAGGAGAGGGAGCTGTGGAGAACAGTAACCGAGGAGGATAGGTCATTGAAGAAGGGCGCCCAGAGGGGAAGGAGTTCTGATGACTCCAAGGCAGCCGAGGGGGAGGGAGGGAGGGAGATTTTTTCCAGGGGCGGTATGAGATGGAGGTGGGTTGGGTGGTGGTGGGGAGAGGGATTGAGGAGTTAAGGGAGATGAAGTGATGGTCCGAGATCGCTTTGTCAATGCTGGTGAGGTCCGAGACTGTGAGGCCCAGAGTGATCACCGGTCCGAGGAGGTGACCACGGACGTGGGTGGCGGAGTGGATGTGGAGGGAGAGATTGAGGGAGGAGATAAAAGAGGAAAAGTCAGCAGAGGTAGAGCAGGAGGGGGTGAAGTGAAGGTTGAAATCGCCAAGGATGAGGAGGCGTTCAGAGCAAAGGGAGAGGGAAGATAGGAGGGTGGAGATGTCAGGGATGAAGGTGATGGAGGGCTTGGGAGGATGGTAGATGAGGGGAATTTTGAGGGAAAGGTTGGAGGGGTGATAGAGGGTAAGGTGCTCAAAAGGAAGGGAAAGTGTGATGGAAGATGTAGCCGGGTGGTGTGGCCTCTATCAGGGGGAAGATGTTGCCTGGAGTGATCCAGGTTTCAGTGAGGGCGAGGATGTCGATGTGTTCATCGACGATGAGGTCTTGGAATGGTGAGTGTTTCGTTGGAGAGGGAACGAACGTTTTGTAGATTGGTGCGGAGGGGACAGTTGGTGGCGGAAAGTGGGAGGCGAGGCGGGGGAGGGGTCACTGACAGGGAGGGTAGGGATGTGGATCAGGGAGGAGAGGTTTGCCCCCGTGGTCAGGGACCAGTGAGCCTTTCGGTGAGAATGGGGGATAGGGCAGTCAGAGTGGCTGCTGTTGGACAGTCAGTGGCGACTTCCAGGGTGGGCCCGACGGATGATTTGCAGGCTGGAGCAGAGGGAGGCTGTGGGATGGTCAAGCCAGGATAGGAGTTGGGAAGGGCGGTGGGAGAGGAGGACTGAGTGGGAGTAAGTGAGGGCAGAGGACAGGGGTGGGAGCATTGTGGGGAAGCAATTCGGGTCATTGGCGGCAGCCAACACACACACACCGAGACTAAAAGCAAGCAGCTGATATTGAACTGATTTTTCATGAATTGCACTGGCTACAACAACAAAATTACATTTATAGAGCGCCTTTCACGTCGGGAGGACGTCCCAAAGTGCTGAACAGTCAGGTGTCGGGGCCCGAGCATAGGGGAGGAGTGGTGTAGGAGTGAGGGAAGGCAGAGAGGTAGGAGGGAGACCAAAGGCACGGTCGAAGAGAAGGGTCTTGAGACCGGCCTTGAAGGAGGCAAGGGAGGAAGCGAGGCAAAGGGACCGTGGGATGGAGTGCGGCTAGCCTGAAAGAGGCCTGAAATTCCACCTAGTCTTAACCTGTAACCTAAGCTTGCCTGTTCACTGGTGCCATGCGATTTTTTCCCTTGCTACATGCATGATTTACTTATCATTTCTCAGATAGCCGCTCTAGAGCCTTCTATGTTTGTCTTCTTATTATCTCCTTGAGTTTGAGAGACTGCTGCATGGTGATTACAATTATATGCAGATATTTATTCTTTGAGCATCAAAAGGAACAGTTCTGTAGAAATTAAGCTTTGACTTGTTTCCCAGCTTCAATATAATTTAAAATCAACATGCTAAAATGTAGGCCAATTTTTTCCTCATGATGCTGGAAATCCAGGAACACTTTGCCCCTGTGGAAATTTACAACTATGAAAAGATACAAAACCTGCTGCATATACTGTACTCAGCTGTATAACTACACAAATGTAAATCAGCTATTTACATGACATCAGATTCCATTTGTTTTTTTGATAATATCAACACTTTGTTTTAAATTGCTGGCACTGGGTTTACTGCTAAATGTCTTACTGAATATTTTGGTTCTTTGTAACACTGAACTGACACACAGCGAAAAGAATAAAGCTTGCTGCAAGCGACACGGTGGAACAATGAGAACATAATGGTGTGGACTTCAATGAATTCCCTCGCTGAATGTCCGTTGAGAGAATCTTCTCGGGAACATGTTGTTTAACTATTTCATACCCAAAAAGGCCACAAAACATGCCCTTCAATTCCTTTGACAACTAGAAAAAAAACAATGATTCCAGTTGGAACAATGCCGAGTGTTGTTCATACTTGTGTCAGCAGGATTATTTCCAGATCTCAGATGGCTCTGAACTGTACCTTCTTCTTCCCAAGCCTGGTTCTGAAAAGTTCGGAAAGGGAATTGCTGTGTGTGTGTAAAAAAAATCTCAGTAACTTTTCACCAGTTTCTGAGAGATTTTATTTTTGCACAAAATCTAGAAAAGCTTTCCAGCATGTGTTTTTTAAAGTAAAGGGCTTTCTTTTGTATTCAATAGGATCAAAATATCCTCTTTTCTGTTGTACTTCTCTCTTACACTTGTGTATGCACTGCTAATGAATCACTGAAAATGCCTCGAGTGGAAAAGCCTTAAAGGTGTTGTGTAAACAAACATGCCGAGTTCAGTTCTGATATTAAGGAAGGAATGTTTGACAGCTCTGTGCTTCCCACTAGTTTCACAAATACTTTTGCAAGTCCCCTTGGAAAAATAACATGGGGGAAATTCAAGGCTGGAATCTTTTATGTGATTTGATACCAAGTGCTGTGAACATAGCGATTGACTGAAGAAATGATGACCAGCAAATCTGTTATGTTCATTGCTTATCAATTTCCCACCAAAATATTGAACATTTGACCTTTCTGCCCTGTAATATTTTTCCAAGATCTGGTGTGCCTTAAGCAAACTTTTTGTGTAAATGTTTACTGAAGGTGTTGAATAATATGGCCAAACATTCTTAGCAGCCATGGGGCAAACCTGTGCATAATTTAATGGACAGATTAGGAAATGCTGCACGGGTTTTTCGTTTGGAAGCTCAGTCTTTTTTGTTAAACAAACCGAAAATTTGAAAGAACGTTACATGAAAGTAAATATTTCTGATAATAATTGCTGATTTTGGTTTCACAATTGGGTGTTAGTTCATTTTGCTCTGTCGCACCAATTTGTATACCTGACACCAAAAGCAAACGTAACACACACTACTTTATATCTGCACCTTCTGTAGTTTCAATGGGGGAATTGTAATATTGTATGTGAATTCCTAAAGTGACACCTGATACATTCAAGGCCAACACAGCCGCACAAGCTTCTCCTGTGGGGATGGAGCCCTTTCTGTGGAACAATTTGCTTCTTTACGTTGCACATGTTCACTCTAACTCCAATACTCCTCCTACAGGGTAGTACTAACAACTAACACGAAAAGAACACTTTGCAACAGAAATGATTTGCAAATTAAGAATAATTCTGCTTCAAGCACTGTTTCAAATATTTCCTCTTTAAAGCACTTCAGCACCTGTTTGTTAGAAAGGCTTGTTCTGAAGAAAAATTCCATCCGGCTTTGAAAAAACACTCAAATCTGGATAAAAACTTTACTTCTGAGACTACGTCCACACCAATATCAAAGCAAAGTATAATTAACCCTAACCCTAGCGTGATTGGAAGAATTTGACAACATTTCAACTTTGTAGGCCTGTGGCAGTGCTGTAATTCCTCATACATTTCTTGCTGTGAAGCTTGTGGCTGGACTTTGTTGTTAATTTGGGCACCATGGAAGATCTAGAGGGTTTGTGTGTTTTAGAGGCTAGTGTTGGCGGTTACTATTGGGAAAAGTGGTCAATTTTTAATTTTTTAAATTTTATTTACAGCCTCTGGACTAGTCAGAAGCCTACTATGTCTACATTCAGATTTGGACAACACATCATCAAGTCCTCTGTAGTTTTCCTGCAGAGTGACTTGTCCTTTGCGTTGGTGAACAGGAAGCCAGTGGTCCGTGGACGTATCCTTTTTTATAAGGCAAAGTTTTAACTCTTTGCTCTTCACAGTTACAGAGAGCACATGGCTGCCTCATTCGCAAACGTAGACAAGGTAAGCCATTACTTTGCACTATGGATGAAACATACAGAGAGGAAAAACAAAAGCTTGTAGCCAATAACTGGAAAATTGCATGCTCGAACGATGCTGTGGCACTTGAGAGGCGGTTACCCAGCAACAGCTTCAATTGATGGGTCAAGGTCCAAGATACCTGAAAAGAAGCATGAGATGAATTTAAACTACATACAATATAAAAGCATCCATGTTGGAGGAAAATAATAATGGTTTTAAGGTTAGTTAGCTGTGACCTGTATTACTGAGAAAATAGGTGGCTTAATGAAAGCTCTACAGAAATGACCACAGTGCAACGGTTCTCACCCCTTGATGTACGTGCAAATTTTATTAACGCTTTCGTACTATGTGGCCTCTGCTTTCCTAACCCTGTCGGTGTGCGTCCTTATTTGAAAGGTCAGAGTCACAGACAAACAGTTAACCCCAGTGCCCAGTAACTGGAATGTCCAATCGGAGTCTGCTCACACTAGTAGACCTCCAACGTTGACAACTACCCTCCGAAGTGCTTACTCCTTTTCTTGTCGAGAATATTGCAGAGGCTCGAGGATACATTTGGTAGAAAGAACAGCTCTTTATTTAAACCTAGCAACCCTAGGCTATCTTGCACATAAGGAACACAACAATGAAAGATATAATAACAATAATCCTTGCATTTGATATAGCGCTTTATCACGTCTTCTAGACATCTCAAAACGCTTCACAGAATATGCTGCAAAGTGAATTAACTGTATATTTGTGGGCAAAACAATGAAGCCAAGCTAATTGAGCACAACAGTGTCCCACAAACAGTCGTGGATTGAGTGACCAAATTATTATTGTGCATTTTTCTTGAGGGATTATTATCTGGCGTGTGGAGCAAGGAAACTTGCCCGTGGTTTCACCCTGCTGGGAATCAAACCCAGGTCTCCAGTTTGTGAAGCGAGTGCTCTAACCACTGAGCTACAGGACTCCCAAGATATATAACAATGGGAGCAAACACATAACTATAATAACTGGCAGCACAATACTACATTAGTATTGAAATATAAACCAACCCTGACTGTCCAGTAGTCCTGTACATGTCAATACGTAACGGATGATGACCATTAGTTAGCGACCACGAGGAGCGCTGAGCATTGCTTTATATAGGCTTGTGGCTCTGCCCACCGTATTATGCGAATGCGAGGGTTTTTCCCTCCATGTTGTTTTACTCCGCAGGCTGCTTGTTTAGCCGACTGTCCAGCAAACCCTGAATCTACACTTTGTTGCAATTGGTGTAGGGCTACTGCTAACTCTGTTGCAAGCAGCTTCTGCCATGTGCAATCATACAGAGCCCATTTAAAGGGGCGGCTTCCCCATTTAGCTTAAATGGTATATAGTTATATATACATATTATTTACACATTACAAAAGACTGCAATAATAGGGTAACCGTGACAATACGACCAATGTAGAGCTAAGATTAGTGCCTTTTGAAACATGACGCTATTAGCAACTAGCATTGGTGGAACACATCTGAAGATTGTGAAACACAGAGAGCATCTTTAATCTTGGCAAATGCCAATAACATTCAATTACAGGAAGATTCTTGGAAGTACATAATTTTTTCTTCCAAAACTAACTGTTAGCCTCCACCAAAACAAGCAGCATTATAGGTGAAATACACTGAAGTTCAAATAATTATATGAATGACAGCAGAGAAGGAAGCCACTCAACCCACCCAGCCAAAGATGGTGCTAATTTATCCATTGGAGCTAACTAATCAAATCCCAATTCCCTGCTCTTTCCCCATAAACTTTTATTTTCCCTCCTCTTCAAATATTTCATCAATTTCTTTCTCTGCCTCCACCCTCCCAACCACCACTCTCTCCCCTTCTCCCATCTCCCACTGCACCCCAACCCCTGCCCATCCCTCCCTCCACATTTTCGAACTTGTCTCCCCTTCCTCTCTCATCAGCACCATATCCAACATGAAACACACTACCTGCTCCCTTGACCCATCCCCACCCCTCTCCTTACATCCCATCTCCACGTCCTCCCCCTTTACTCTCCGACCCCCATCAATCTCTCCCTATAATCTGGCACCGTCCCCAATCACATAAAAACAACTATAATCAACCCCTTCCTGAAAAAACCTTCCTTGGACCCATCTCTGCTTTTTAACTACTGGCCCATTTCCAACCTCCATTTTCTTTCCAAGGTCCTTTAAAGAGTCGTTGCTTCCCAGCTTCGCTCATTCCTCTCCTACCACTCCCTTCAAGAGCCTCTCCAATTGGGCTTCTGTGCTGCTCACAGCACGGAAATTGTTCTGTTTAAGTTGACAAACGATATCCTGTCCATCTGTGACCAGGGCTCCCTCTGCCTCCTCGACTTCTCTGCTGCCTTTGATATTGTGGACCACGCCATCCTCCTCCATCGCCTCTCCTCTCACCTCAATCTTCAAAGTTCTGCCCTTGACTGGTTCAGGTCTTATCTCTCACACTGGCTCCAATTTATCTCCGCCAACGGTTTCTCTTCCAGCCCCCGCACAGTCTTGTGCGGTGTTCCTCAGGGCTCTGACCTCGGTCCCCTCCTCTTCAACCTCTACACACTCTCCCTTGGTGACATCATCCGCAGACATGGGGTCAACTTCTACATGTATGCGGATGACACCCAACTCTATCTCTCTGTTTCCACCCTCGATTCCAGGACCACTGATGTCCTGACAGACTGTCTGTCATACATCAAGTCCTGGATGAGAGCCAATTTTCTACAGCTAAGTGTCAGCAAGGCTGAGGCTCTCCTGATCAGCTCGCACCAGCACCTCCGCACCTCAGGTACTGGATCCATGGATGCACACTCCAGCTCACCAAGCCAGTCAGGAACCTGGGCGTCTTGTTCGACCCTCAACTGTCCTTTCTCCCCCATAGCCGTGCCATGGTCCGCTCTGCCTTCCCTCAGCCCTGAGTCCACCGAAACCCTCAAACATGCATTCGTCACCTTAAAGCTCCACTACAGAAACCCTCTGCTTGACGGCCTCCCCAACTCTTCCCTCCACAAGCTGCAGATCATCCAGAACTCTGAAGCTCCTGTCCTCTCCTCCTCCAGGCTCTGTGACCCCATCACTCCCACCCTCGCTCAGCTCCACTGGCTCCCCATTCCTCAGAGGGTAGAATTCAAAATCCTCTTCCTCACTTTCAAGGCCCTCCATGGCCTTGCTCCTTCCTAGATCTCTGACCTGCTAACCCCTTATCAACCTGTCCACTTCCTCAGCTCAGCAGGCTCTGGCCTGCTCCACGTCTCCTGCCCAGCCCTCCCCACCATCGGCGGCTGGGCTTTCAGCCTCTCTACCCCACCCTCTGGAACTCCATCCCACAATCCCTTTACCTTGCTTCCTCTCTTGCCTCTTTCAAGGCACGAATCAAGACCCTCCTACCTCACTGCCCTCCCTCACCCAACCGTGCCACCCAAGCTCGGATCCTGATCCCTGACTGTTCAGTGCCTTGGGACGTCCTCCCGACGTGAAAGTCACTTTAGAAATTTAATTTTGTTGTTGTTTGTCACATCTGCAACTGTCCTTGAGTGTTCTGGTTAATGCAACAATCTGACAGTTCTGTGGCCTGAATTGCCTGCAGTTCTTGAAGTGGCTTTATGATGCAGTGATAAAGTCCCTTCAACCTTATGTGGCTGTAGGTTTCTGTCTGAATAGGACATTCTTTCCTTGTCAGAGAAGGAAAGAATGGCCAAGGCATTATAGGGTGAAAAAGCACTAAAAATATGGCACAGTTGCCTCTGATAGTCTGGTTTCTGAACAGTCAGGTTTATCCATCAGATCAAGTTCCCATTCAGCATTACAGCACATATTATGGCTGCCAGTGTTTCATATGTAAATATTGAGAATTACAAGTGCTGATTTTACCTGGTTAAAGAAGATACAGCTGATGAATCAGTCAGTGAGAAATGCTGATTACATTTTCTAACAATATATTCCAGATTCTTATACAGAAGGGATCACAATGTGTGATATTGCGTTGGGCACTGATAACTCTTAAGTGTGGCTATAGTATAGCCTAATTACATGTTTCAAGATAAAATGTTTCACCAATACCAGAGGAAATTTAAAAGCTTATTATAATAATAATAATCCTTGCATTTGATATAGCGCTTTTCACGTCTTCCAGACGTCCCAAAGTGCTTCACAGAACACACTGTAAAGTGAATTGACTGTATATTTGTGGGCGAACGCGGCAGCCAATTGCGCACAGCAATGTCCCACAAACAGTCGTAGATTGAAAATGACCAATTTATTATTGTTTTTGTTTTGGAGGGATTATTATTAGGTGTGTGGAGTAAGGAAACTTGCCCAAGGTTTCGCCCTCTGCCTGGAATTGAACTCAGGTCTCTCGCTTGCAAAGCGAGTGCTCTAACCACTGAGCTACAGGACTCGAATTCTTTGCATCAAGATATTTTATATTGCACTCGAGCAAATTTTTTATTTTGTTTCTCGAGCAGTTTCTAATCGGGGATTTCTGCACAATCCGGTTTGAATAGCTGAGGTTTTGAATTTTTAATGAAATGTATGTATGTACTTTTTTTAAAAAAATCAATGATCTCGTAATACCAAAATGGGCCAAGTCCAAAGCTGAATCATTGGGGTTAAAGTGGTGTTTCGTTACTTTGAGCTTTTAAACATTGAAGGCACCAGTACAGGAAGAGGGCTGAGCATTCCACTGGCCCATCATCAGTCACAGAGATAATACTTCATTTCACAGGGTTGTTTTCAGCTTGTGGTGTGAACGGGTTGGAAAATGGTACAAAATGAGACGAAATACTGAATATGGTTTGAAATTTAAGGGGAAAAAATGCTTTCGGAAGCACTGGTGGATCAATTTTCTGGTGTTTCACGTTGGTGATTTTTAGCAGAGCTTTTCATGCT